TTCACATTTTTCATCATCATCTTTATTTTCCTCATTTGGCAGTTCTTTCAACGAATGACATGGTCCCTGAGGAGCTCTTTTGGCTCAACCAGGACAGTTTCCCCGCTCTTGCAGAGCACCTCGACACAGACCGAACCGGACGGTGAGATTCCAAAGATGCGCCAGCACCTGGAAAATCAACGTCATCGAATCAACATGCTTACCCAACAAGTCCATGACAAGGACGACAAGATCACAGATTTGCAGGAATGGATTGACTACTATCAAGGAGACCTGGCATCGACACCACTTTGGGTGAGCCGAGCCGGTGAAAGATTTCATGTAAGACCAGAATGTGATTCCCTTCGGCATGCCAATCCCGGTGGCATCAGAAGGCTTACACTTTGCTCACATTGCATCCGAGATTTGCATTCGAGCAGCGGTGACTGATGACTCTGGCAATTTCCCTTTCTCCACCAATGTGAATTTGGTGCCACCAAATCAGTGCAAACTCAGTGATTGCCAGGAAGTCATCGGGAACATCATTTACATTTGGGACTTGCCTGCATCGCCCGTTGCATTTGGGCTTTTGTGGTGCATCGGCACTATTCATTCGGGTCCACAGGGCCCTTGAGCATTACCAATCATATGGCAACGCAGAGAAAACAGAAGTGCTTGCTTTGCACGTTGCACTTGTTCATTTCCAGTTGTGTTCAACACTTCGAGCGGTTGAAACACGAAGATCACTTTCCATATCTTCACAGGTGGGTTTTGCCCAAAGGGAGCTCCTGGAAGCGTTTTTGTCTGTACAACTACATACATGTCACATACATGCGTGTATATAAATATATAGAGACAATATATATATATATATACACATATTTGTATATTATAACATGTATATTATATATTTATTAATTGCCATTTATATATATATATAGTTACGTATATATATAATATACATATACATATTATATATATATGTCTTTCTCTGGAAACTAGGGCACCCCAAAAATTCGAATGGGTCATCATCATTGTCCCCATGAAAATTGCCGTGGTGGACATACCCTTCATAAGAAGGGTAGAACGAAACAAATATACACGCATACAAAACATGAATATGGTATATAATACACCATAGATAGTCTCATTATGTACTATAAATACATATATATATATCTATATATCAATGGAATATATAGAGACAATATATATATATATATATTGTACACATGCCAACATGTCAACTACCTGAAAAAGGCCTGGGTTTGAGAATCCCAAATCACATGTATAAACTAGTATCAACATAACATGGTCAATCTTTGCTATCCATCCTTCAGGGGACCACGTTCTGGTCATGGTCGCGTACCTCCTTCATGGCAAAGGGCCACAGGACGACCCCAATATCCCGGGGAACAGGTGAAACGCACCTGGTGTCCAAACTCGTGGTGAAGATGCAGCGGGGATGACTTGGCATGTGTTGATGGTTTAGGATTCGCATCTTCGATTTTTGGAGGTGTTATGTATTTGTTTTTAGCTTGTTGGTAAAGGTGGCGGATGGATTGATGGATGTTGCCCAAGTTTAATTGATTTCAACCGTCTTGAATGATGTTGACGGATGTTAGACTCTAGACAATTTTGCGTTGGTTGGTGGTTTCAACCCCCCTGAAAAATATTAGTCAGATTGGATCATCATCCCAACTATTGGGAACATGTTCCAAACCACCAACGAGTGCGTGTTCGTGAAACACCAAACTTCCATGTTCCTAAAAACCTTGCCGAAACGACCGTGAGTCCCATCATTTTTCACGGCGTAGCGATGACCTTCGCCAGTTCGGGTGTCCGTTTCCAGTGCCAAATGATATGCGTTGATTTGGATGTTTACATAAGTTTACATCTAAAAATATCTAAAAATAATGTTTTTAATTGGTATAACGGCATAACTCGCCAATTTTGGCGGGAAGAACCCGTTCCCATGAAATTGTGTTCAATTTTTCCAGGCACATCTCATATTGCCATACATTGGCCCTAAAAAACAGCCATGAATTTGACACTTCAGACTCATCTTTCTTCGCTTCTATTCCTCGTCGATATCTCAGGGCTGAAGGTGCATTCGCCATTTCTTGCTGGTGTTTTGTCGCTAAACTGCCCAATAAATAATATTAAATATATAATCACATTTTTTCCAGACAAACGAACCCATCCAATGTGCTACACCCATATCAAATCAAACAGTCCGAAATGATTTATACAACTCATTGCTGGTGATCATTGGATAACTGTGTTTATTGTGGTTCATAATATGTACTATGGTATTGCAAAACTGATCCATACCACCTAATAATTCAGTGACGTCGGTTTTTACAATTTAATCAGATGTATGTTTTCAGACAAACCCCATCAAATAAAGGTGATGGAAAAATCAGATCTGTTCAGATTTATATATATATATATATGTGGTTTCTGATTGGGTTTACTACATCAGTTCAAATAATTAACGCATCACATCCAGTTGTTAAAACGTTCGCTTCACCGTCCCTTCACCGGTAACAGGCGCGCACCGTTTCCCCCACGTAGCTCCGGTCCAAGTCGTGCGTGCCGGTCTCGGATGTGAAGTGGCGACCAGCAACCGTGATGATTTTGAAATGGGATTATACAGGATATATAGGGAATATATATATATATACATATATATATAGGGATATATAGGGATATATAGGGATATTATACAGGATGGGGCCCCCAGTCGATAGCGTTCAGTTGCCTTATAAGTGGCTGAAATCTATTGTTTCTGGTAGATATTATAACGAACTAGTTAATGGATGTTAATGGGGTTTATAAACCAACAACCATAACTGGGGGGCATCATCCTGTAGAAACATATAGAGAATTACAGGGATCTAATGAGACAGAATGGAGAAATTTCTATAATATTCTGGGATTTCACTCAATTTCACAGTTTGCGACGGGGAAAATCACGATGGAAAAAATAGGAGGATCATCAAACTAATAGGCCAAGTTTCCATAGCAAAACTATGAAACTAACGAAAGGTATTTGCAAGTTGTGGAACATGTGATGTGGAAAATGGAAAGATATGGTCCCCTTGTGCCTGAAGAACACATTTCTGACTTATCTGCAAATTACGGCATGATAAACCTTGGGACCGCATCTGGTGGGTAATTACTTGAGCTACCAGATACTGAGCCCAGCTAGAGATTTGCTACTCATGGTTCCTTTGAACTACCGCAAGATAGTTCCATTTGTTCTCCAGGTACCGGATATGGTGTCTGCGCAAAAAAATTGACAACGCAAAAAAAACATGTATTATAATATGTATTTATGCATATGTATATATATATAGTGTATATATATATTATGTATGGTCACGGCCCCCTGGATGTATATATATATATTTGTATATATATATATTATATATATGCTACCCCCGCCGAAACCTACCGGTTTCGATTTTTTATTGTGTTTTACAGTGATTTTTGTCGGTTTTTGCCTTCAAAAGCAGCCAGCATTTGTTCATTCATTTGAAGACTTTGGATGCTTGAACATGATGAGTCATGATGCTTCATGTGTAGATACAATGACATATTTTGATGGTATTTGCAGCGCTTTCGACTACAGTATTGGGTTCCCAGCAAAGAGTTTCAATTCAAACATTGACAGAATGCGCACGGCACTGTGGCCAAATGTCAACTTTAAGCTTTACATTGGTTTATACAATGTTTTTGTTCCTTCTTGTGACCCGTGAAATTTCGGATTTTGTATGCTTTCAGATCTTGCAGGCATATTATTTGATGATCAACATGGTTTTGGGGAATCTTAGATTTAAAACCAAGAACCAAGAACCAAGATTTGCTCAGGAGTCTTTGGGGAATCTTGGTTCTTGGTTTTGGTTCGGAAATTCCAAGATTTGTTCAGGAGTCGTGGGGGAATCTTGGTTATTGGTTCTTGGTTTTAGCAGAGAATGCATTCTGAATGCATTCTTCCCAGAATGCAGAGAATGCATTCTGAATGCGTTCTTCCCAGAGTGCTATCATTGAAGTTGCGTTCAATCAGTCTCAATAGCATACTTATTACACTATTATAATAATATATATATAATACTCTTAGCGTGTATGTAAGGTAACCCCCTTTTGACCCAACCATCTCATGAATATGTCAAAAAGGTAGGTTTCAGGGGGGGTACCATATATATATATTTACATATTGAGGTAGGATTTATTCTAATATTGTATATAATACATTTGAATATCCATCCAAAACATATGTATATGTATATATATAGAGAGAGAAAGAGAGACCCTCCATACAGTGTATATATATACAGTATACAGTATATCATATTTGAATCACAATTGAATATTCATCAAACACATATGTATATATATATATTATTTTAAATATGTATATATATATACTATAATATATATATATGTATATATATATATACGGTATATTCCCAGATCAATGTATGTCATATATACATCTGGTTGGGAAACTCAATTCGTATCTGGCTCCCCCCTGGCTTTGGAATAACCGACCATCCCATCTGAAGCGCCACTCTGTGGCTCCCTCGACCCCAGTGAGTTCTGTACCTTGCCTAAGAAAGTTCGTTACATCATTTCAATTGAGTTAAATCACGATCATGAATGATAGCTCATTGATTATGAAATGATTATAGTTACTAGTTACGATCTATGAAATATTGATTATGACTATAGTATCATTGAATAGTTATAGTTATTAGATCATTTTTTTCGTATATAGCATCATTGAAATCACGTGAGTCACCAACAACTAGTAAAATATCACGGTATACATCATTTCAACTGGTAATATGAAACATTATTACCATATAACTTCTCACTTAGTTATCATGACTTGTCACCACTTATCTATTGATTTCATATTTTCTACATACATCAAATAGTGAAATAGTGACTATAAATCAATACTCTTCTATCATATTTTAACTACATTTCCCTGTACTTTGACTTTGGCACAGTCATGCCATTTCTGAGCCCGGCTCCATGGTCATGGTCTCTTGCCTTGGGATTCGGCGATCGAGATCGCCATGGCTTTCACCAAGGCAACGATGGCTTCATAACCGGTTAAGAATGATACAATGTGAATTCTGATGATATTAAATGACTTTAGTAAGTATAATTCATATACTGCTCCATTACTATATAGTAATATAGTAGCTATAGCCATATAATGTTACTAGAAATCTATACCAAAAAGCCATTTAAAATTCTGATGGTGACCATAAAACAAGCATGGTGAAATTGATCCTGTGAGTTGGCGACAAATACTGATCACGAAGTCCCAGATATGGTAGTGAAACATAAGTTAAACTGAGACAATGATATTCACATCTAACTAGTTACCCAACTGAAAACGTTATATGCTACTATGATGTACGAGTCCTATGATATACTATAATATACTATGAGATACTATGATATACTATGATATACTATGATGAACTATGATGAACTATGATATACTATGACATTTCCAAGAAATGGTGACAGTGGGAATTAGCTATGGGATTTTATCGTTGTCCAACTACGCAGGATAGCTTGTGGTCATCATCCCATGCTTGATGGTTAAAAAACTCTCGGTAGACGCTCCTAGTTTAACTATGTTACCAGGATGTTGTTTTTGTGATCACCTGAAAATTTCTAGGTCTCCAGATGTTCTGCCCTAAAAATGGGGGGATTGCTGAAATGCTGAAATTCCCCAACAAAGAGAAAGCTACATCAATATGAAACTAACATCAACATGTTGGGGCTTGACTGACTTTTCAAGTTTGACTGAAAGATCTGAAAGATCTGAAAGATCTGAAAGATCTGAAAGATCTGAAAGATCTGTGAACCCCATTCTTGAACAAACCCAGTGGCTCCAGCAAGCCCATTCTTGAAGACCCCGATAAAAAACTTGATATCCAACCATATTCAACCATGAAATATAAACCACAAATTCCTTGCTTATGGTTGCTTATATACATTAAGCCCATGAACCCCTACAAAAATTGGGTGACGCAGTGGCGCCACTGCCTTTCAGGCGCAGGCCAACCAGTGGAAAATCCTGTTTTCCTTGACGACCTCAGACAGATCAATCCGTGAAAACATGTGCCTGTTGAAATCTCGTCCACTAAGATCGCAATATGACGCTGGCTCTAAGCTTTGCCGCAAAAGAACATGCGATTTTCATGCAACATCAAGCTGCAAAGGATTCCATTTCTCTCCCATTTTCGCTTCCTTTTCCCTTCACAGTTCGTTTCTGGGCACGACGAGTGAACACCGGAACACCTATGGTCACATCTCCATGCCGGGCCACTGCAAGAAGGTTTGCAAAGATCCACAACCAATCAACGAACACCTCCGAGAAGGCAGAGCGGTTGAAAAAATGGTTTAAGAAGTTGAAATTGGCAGGGATATTCAATGCAACCACTTAAACAGCTGCCTAAGAGAGTATGACCTAAGTACTGAGAATGGGGACTGAACCAACATCAGTGGGACTAGTTCCAATGTAGGCGTCATCAAACATGGCTTGTTGGAAAATCCGCAATAGTTCGTGGATTTTCCCAAACTCAACCTGTCCCAGCTTGGTTCCTACAATGTGAGGCCCCCCAGTTATAAGTTGGTTTATAAGCCCCAGTAACTATAGTTATAAGTACCATAAACCATAGTTATTGGAGTTATAAACCAACTTAGCTATCTTGGGGGCCTCACATTGTAACGTATGATTTTAACATTTTCCCAGATTTTTCCAGCGCTTTTGCGAATCGTTCGAATCCTTCGAACTTCGGATTTCCCAGCGCTTGCCGCGCGCCATCTGGCTGAGGACACTCATTAAAAATGGCTCACCAGGTAGGATCCCAACAGTAACAATCCCAACAGTTGATTCTATGCCCAACAATGGTATATTCTCAACATTACTATGGTTAATAATGGTTTATCTATGGTTAATCTATGGTTATCTATCTGGTTGGTGGTTTTTCGCCACCCCTCTGACAAATATGAGTGAGAGTCAGTTGGGATGATGAAATTCCCAACTGAATGGGAAAATAAAATTCATGTTCCAAACCGCCAACCAGACTATGTTTTGGCAACACAAATGTTTGTGGAAGGCTCAGCCGAACTTCTTTCTGGGAAACCCCAAGCTCCATTTGAGAATGAGATTCCCAGTTCATGGCTTATAATCATCCCCAATATATAAAGGCTAGTACAATCCCCTAATCATCAACCAGCTATCATGTATCAGTCATATCCCCATCTGTTTCAATGTTGAAAAGCCCCATAAAATCAATCCCTATTTGATGGTTAGATCTCAGATAAATCCCAGATACCCCTATTTTTCATGGCTAAATCCACGAACTAAATGGCCATGTTCAATAGCAAACTGTTAGTTTACCAGGCCGGGTAAATCCCAGTAAATCCCATGAAAGATCCCATTACTTCCCCTTAAGTCACCATAAAACCCCAGTAAAATCCCATGACAAGTCATTAAGTCATCTCGGGTATTCATTGAATGTTCCGAATCACCATATATAAATCCCATATAACATCATATAACCATCCAACATCCTCCAACCAAAAATTTCTTCAGACGCCTCTCGTCTCCCATGAACTGCCACTGGCCATCTGGCCCACAGGTGGCCGACCTTTTGGGAAGCGATCCCCCGGGATGGGGGAGATTGAAACAATGGATTCCCATGACGGATCCTAACGGTGCTGCTATATGTATAGGGTGTGCCATGGATCCCATCAATAAATATACCCCAGTCATGTTAGCATTAATATACCAGCACCATGGATCCGTCACGGGATTGGGAACATTGAAACCTGAAACTCCGGAAATGTTCCATTCATGGTTTTTCCCATAAAAAATCTGGGAGTGTTCTGCAATGATCCCTTAATCTGATTAATCTATTGACTGATGCAACAAACAAATTTGACAAACAAGAGAAAATGAAACAGTTAGGCACGTGGGTCGTTATCTTTATCGATTTGGAATGAAATATCCCCAGGTATATGGATCATGAGCCACTGCGATGCACATCCCCGTTCATGTTTGCCACATCCCCAGAAACCATCCGTTTAGCAGTTTTTACATACATTGGGAACATGAAGGCGGTGTTTTATACTAGGATATTATTGTTTCCTTCAAATTCTGTGTGACCTGTTCATGATTTGTGTGATGAGAATGGATTGGAAGCGCGAAAGCCAGTGAAAGTACCAAGGGAAAACAAATCATTTTGTAAAGATGGTAATTATGAATGCTGGAACAGTGAAACCATACTTCAACACAACATTGTATGTCACAGAGGAGATCTTTGAACATGTTCACCACCCACATACTATATGATATCTGTATTGTATTGGAACAAGGCAAACAGTTTTGCAGGTTCCTATTTGGGACATAAGGCTATACCCCACGTTTTGGCGGCATATAGTCGGTGATTTTTTCTTCCAGCAGAGTGCCCAAACGTCATTCACTCTCAGCTGATGTCACATACATAGGTCTCAAACCATTTACACTCCGAAAGTAAGTATAGTTTCTACATAATTCTACAAGGTGGTGCCCCCCAGTTGGTTTATAATCCCACTAAATATAGATATATCACCTATAAACCATAGTTATTGGAGTTATGTGCACCAACTTAGCTATCGAACGGGGGCACCACATAATTCTAGGTCCGAAAAAAATGATAACAACATGTTGTGGTTTCAACAGTTTTGTCACCATTTGCTCATTGAAATGGCTACCAATTCGGGTATCCGGTATCCACCACATTTTTTTAAACAAACCCAACCCAAATATAACGTTTGGGCTATAATATATAATATATATATATATATATTGATATATATAATATATATATATATTGATATATAATATATATATATATATCAATATATATATATATATTATATATTGATATATATATATATATAATATATATATATTGATATATATATATATAATATGTCCCACTCTTTCCCCAACCACTCCCACGTTTCTCTGGATTCCAGGTCTCCCAACGGTCGACCAGAGTAGCCCAGGTCGCATTGATATTCCACGGTCATGCCGCTGGTGTAGGTCTGGCCAATGGCTGGGCTGTGGCCAATGACGGATGCACATCATGTGATATGTCCCCTACCTCTTTGTGTGTACTATATATCACTGGTTGGTGGTATACCTACCCCTCTGAAAAATATGAGTTCGTCAGTTGGGATGATGACATTCCCAATATATGGAAAAATAAAAAATGTTCCAAACCACCAACCAGTATCATATGTGTGTGTATACAACTTACATGTGTATATGTTACATATATATATATATATGTATTGCTCATATATATTGCTCATATACATTGCCTTTCATGGCACTGCACTGCACTACGTTACAGTACCCGACATTGCACTGCACTACTTTGCATTACAGAGCATTACTGTACAATACCATACTACCATTGTGTTGCATTACATTATCCTACATAACATATAATACAACATAACACAACATAAGACAACATGCTGTACATACATCATACATTTGTTGGGTGCACGACCCTTCAGCAGAGAAATACAGCACAGAAAGTTTCCTAGCCTCTTGTGATAGTGGTGATGCAAAAAATCACGGGGATATGATCCCATAATATATATATATATATTTATTTATATAATACTAGTATGCTAGGTCGTATTGCAGAATCAAAAGCGTCAGAAGGAGTGAGACGAGTAGTAAAAGGAATAGGTCAGAAGCTGAAATCTATACACCCCCTCCAGAAAAAAAACACTCGGTGGCTCACCCCAATTTGTGAGCTTATAAGATCTTATAAGCACAGTTATAACTAGGATAAGTAGGGATCGTCGAGTGAAAGCGGGGTCAACCTCCAGTAGTTTCAAACGTAGCTCGCTGGTTTTTTCCCAGAACCAATCCAAGGTGATGGCCCCCTGTTAACGCTAAGTTGACGCAGAGTTCACGACTGGTGAACTGTTGGGTTGATTCGGGGAATATCACGAACTACTGTAGATGGTTGGTTGCGAAATCCTGCACCACATAAAGGATGGTTGAAACCCTATAAATAATGGGATAAAGCATCTATCAACTGGTGCAGTAGTTTTCATGGGTTTATAAACTAACAAACATCACTGCACCTCGAAGTTGATGATGGGATCTGCATTCTCCACCTGCGATTCTCCGATTTCCCCTGAAACCCCAATGATAGTACCCATGACGGATCCATGGTGCTGCTATATATGGTAACATGGATCCCATCAATATACCCCAGTCATGTTAGCATATATACCAGCACCATGGATCCGTCATGGGGTATATGGATGTATATTATGTTCTAATAAGACGAGCAGGATGTCATCAGAATCTAGACGTACGTTGAGATTCATCAAGCCGCTGCCAGAAAGAGCCGGGATAGGCCGGGATCATTCGTGAAAATCGAAGCCCTGGATTGAGATTACCCTCTGGTAAACATACAAAAAACATCAAAAAACTATGGAAAGATCCACCATTTTATAGCTGGGTAAATCAACTATTTCGACTGGGCCATTTTCAATAGCTATGTTAAACTACCAGAGGTTATATCCCCAAATCCACTGGTTTAAATCATTACGGTATAACCCACATTGAAAGTCCATCCATATTTTTTATGGGGGGAAGTCACACCATTTTCAGACACACCCACACCCATAGGATCCATGGTGCTGCTATATATGGTAACATGGATCCCATCAATATACCCCAAATGTTAGCATATATATAAATACAATACATGGATCCTATGGGACATGAAAGAACATTGTCCAGGTTTGGAAATTTCAGTTGATGTCTTGCCTTATCAATTAGCTATGTCACCTATCTGGGTGAATGATGGTGAATGATTATCGTTCCAGAAATAAAGCTATCTCCCTATCATTGCCCACCCCCTGTCTGGTCCCAATGATGTGGAAATTCCATGAACTTTCCCAATAAACCATGGTTTCTAGGTCTGTTGAAAAAATTGGGGGGCAGGGATTTTGCACCTTATTCAACCTTACTACCCTCTGGTAATTTAACATAGCTATGGCAAATCACCATTTTATAGCTGGGTAAATCCACTATTTCTATGGCCATTTTCAATAGCTTTTTGTATATTTACCAGGCCGGGTAAATCCCAGTAAATCCCATGAAAGATCCCATGAATTCCCATGAAGTCACCATAAAACACCATGAAAAATCCCATATATGAATTGAGTCACCATAAAATCCCAGTAAAATCCCATGACAAGTCACATTTTGAAACACCTCTAGAAAAATCCCATTAATATCATCTGGTGATTTTTTGATTACCAGAGAGTACCACAGCTTTTCATTGCTCACCTCCCTCCCAGGGCTCCCACCTTCCGTGGAGCTCCACAGCCAACCCTTTGGCAATGGCCAGACCTTGGTGATCTGCGTGATCTGACGGAGCATCCTCCGCGATTCCGCGATGGCCGGAAGGGAGTCGTGATGGCCAGAGCTGGCCCGGAATCTTCGGAGAGTTTTCTATGGGATTTAGAGGTGTCTTATGGTGACTTCATGGGAATTCATGGGATCTGATCTTTCATGGGATTTACTGGGATTGACCCTCTGGTTATGACTAACAGTTTGCCATGGAAAGATCCACCATGCTATTAATAGGTAAACCATCTATTTCTATGGGCCATTTTCCATGGCTATGTTAAATAACCAGAGGGTAACCAACAACTGGAAGACACAACACGCTTCTAGCTGGCAACAAACACGGAAATTCGTTGAAAACAGCAAGCAGCGATTTTTTTGGCGGTGTGTCTGAAAATGGTGTGTTTCCCCAACTACTGACTGTAATGGAGAAAAAATTGATGAACTAATGGCTTTTAGGATTCTCTATTTCTGGACAAACCCAACTAGAGTCAAGAGAATGAGCCGCAACTATCTTGGATATGGGAATGTTTGAAAAAAAATGTGGTTTAATGGGAAAAACGATCATTACCGCATTACCCATCAAATTTGATACCTTACTTTTCGGACAAGCCCATACCACGAAAAAATAATCAAACACCATATTTATATATATGAATGTCAATGTGTTTTCATAAGTTTTGTATGGTTTTGTTGAGGCTTCAAAACAGTGAACCCCCTGAAATATTCGAGCCATTAAAAATACCCCTATCGCATCTCATACTGGTTGGTCAGTAAGTATCCCTATTGCAGGTGACTTTCCATTCACCAAGAAACCACGTAGTACAAACCCCTCTATTAACCATTCAACACAGTTATAACTATTGTAAATCAAATAAAAACCCATTCAAATCCCGTATTATCTCCATTTCTCTTGTTTAACTCAGCATTTTTCTATGGCTAACTCACCATTTTTCATAGTTCAAAAATGGCTCCAGTCGCCAAAAACTGAGGTTCCCACAGTTCCATCTTGCCGGTGGCTGAACAGGACACCACAGGTTGTCCCCGATACCTGGGGCTGGACTCCGGTGGATGCGGATGCCATGTTGCTTTCAGCAGGGGAGATGGTATACCAAATATGGATCACTCGGTTTTCCGGAAAATATTCTTTGAAATATCCATCGGTTTTGTTGGGACAATCTGAAAACCGGAAAACCAAAAAATGGAGTCCATGAGATGTTTTTACCATCTAAGATTAGTTGGGGTTTCCGGTTTCAATTTTCCCATCATCCAGTGAAATATGAAAACATGGATCTTGAATAGAATGGATGGGATTTCAGATGGTTTCAAGATTTTCAATGGAATATCCAATGGTTTACCCATGGTTTTTACCATCGAAATCTTTTTCTGAATGGAGCTGCGAATTGGAATCTTGGCTTCAGCACAGCTAAGAATGGCTTAGCCGTGTTGGTTAATGAGAATCATGTGAATTCTTCATATGATTCCTGGTTCAAACGTCTTCTCCAATGAAGTGCTTAATAATATTGATAATGGTTAAGAATCGTTAATAATGGTTAGTGGCGGTTAATAATGGTTGTTATAATGTGAATTCAATTCTCCATATGTTTTTTGACGTCACCTCGTCACCAGCCATCCACCCTCCGAGGCGCCCGAGTGGACAAGAAAAACTTTGGTGGCCGCAGAGTGGAAGCCTCGGCACGGCCAGGAGGTACCACCATGGCTGGCTCATCGAAAAGTAGCTTAGAACCTTAGAACCCAGTTGAGAGTAAGTGGAATCATCAGCTGATTGTAACCATATAACTACCATATAACCACTTACTGCATTGTAACCAGATAACCATAACTAGTAATATAACACTGTAATGGTTATATGGTTTTAATACTAAGTAACCTTTTAGGCTTACTTATCCTACTGCATTGTAACCATAGAATGTGGGATGAACCATCTACCAGATTTTTGAGATCTGTGCAAGGGCTATGTAAGTGAATATACCTCTGAAATATGGCCATTGAGTTTGTTGAACTACTCCAGGTGTTTATTATGATGGGAAAAACGTGTCGTGTTTGAGGGAGTTTGTTTTAGATTACATGTTTTAACACGGATTCTGAGATGTTATGTTTTTTTTCAGAAAAAAATAGATTCCACTTTTTTGGGGGCATGTCAGTTCTTTTGCAAAAAAATGAGGGCCCCAATCCCATTTAATAATCAAACAAGTCTGAATAGGGTTTGAAATATAATAAGGGAAGTCAAATATGCTTGTATGATCCTGATGTGCTGGGCATATCCAGTTCATGAGGAATCAAATATGATCAAGTCGATCACACCGGTGATCAAATGAATATAGAATACTCACTGGATTTCATAATCATGAGCACCTCTTTCAGATGAACATGGACGATCTATGTACATCAGAGTCAATCATGGTGCCAATGTCTCCGGAAAAAAAATACTAATACTTATATATAAGAATTTTCACCTTTCACCATTTCTATCAATCCAACATCTTTTGGGGGTCCCCCCTTATATCTTCCATGATCTTTGGTATCTGCGAAGTCTCAGACTTCACCTGGAGTCGACCCCCTGAGGTCCAAACCACTCCTGTCCCGAGAACACGAGCCTCAGCGCGAAGGTGTCAAAGATTCT